TGAAGTTTGTATTAGAAGGCAGACAACAAGCTGCAAAGTTCAAGAAAACTCCATCATATACCCAACAGAGTTTTCTAGTAAGACAATACAAAAATCATTGGACACGGCAGTGCAATCTTGTGGTTTGTTTATTGATCGCACACATCTATTTCTGGCAGCATCACCTACATCTACCTATTACAGTAGACAAGACATGTACTTAATTCAGGTATAAGCCTACCTATTTATTGCTTTGCAAAAACTAATTTACTGTTTCCTCTTGTTTTGACTGCATAAAATATTTTTATGACCCTCGTTCAATTATTACCATCTACCACATGACCCTTGTAAACATAATTTTGTTTATTGACATGAATAAACGAATTTGAATTTGAGTTCTTGAATTTATTTTAGGAAAGATATAAAATTATTTGAATACATTTTTTTCTTAGTCGGAACGCACCGTCACGACGCTTGAACTGGCAGGTTGAAACAGTAGATGAATTTCGCCTAAAAACCGATTTGCACTTCACAGCTTACTTTTCATCATTTCCAAATAAAACTCTTGCAGCATGCTAAAAACAAAGTCCACAGGGTGCCAGCGATCCACTTTTTCGATTTTATCCACTAGGATCGTTCTAAAATATCAAAAAGTTGAGCATAAATAGTAAGCATTTCAACCCACCATAATTCTTGCGCAAATACAAAATTTTTTAAAAAGCTTTGATAACACCCTATGCAATTATGTCCTGCTTATATCCAGAAAAACATCACAAAGTGCAGGACACAAATTGAAGGTAACGGCGAAATGGGTACATTTCACGGGTCATGAAATTCAAATGAAAATGCAGGTATAAAATCTACCAAATTATCATTCTCAAGAACATATTTCCTTGACATATCGATAATTTTAAAGTTCCACGCTAAATTCCTCTATACTTGACTGGAGTGATATCCGAATTTATTCTTCCCTACTGTCGGTAGTCGGTAGTTGCAGATCTGTTGGCTCTTGGTGTCAAACCTATAGAGCAGATACCGATTTTTTTCAAATCGTGAGCACATTATTCATCGGATTTTCGTTACTTAAATTTCCGGTAATCACTGAGATCAAAAGCTTCTTAATGATAGAACGTGTTTTCAACCCCCCCCCCCCCCCCTTTTTAAGCCGTACAATTCTTTTATGTCAATGATTACGAACCCCTGAAACGTCAAAACCGGAGTTTCAGCAATTGTTACTTTTTCTTTTTTGCCTATAGCACCGTTGTCAGTGGAGTAGAACTACAAAGCTTTGGCAGTGAGGAAATTTCATAAAAATTCGAGCGGTAATTTCCAAGTTGATGATGAGTGATACAGTTTGTGATGTAGATGCCATATGACTTAAAAAAACATAACATCTCATTTTAGAAATTATTCGCGATTACAATACTTCCTCGCCAAATTATCTGAATACATCCTTTCTTAGACCGTACATTGCGCCGCAACGCTTGGGTTGGTAGCACGAAACAGTAGACAAAATTCGTCCAAAATACGATTTGTAGAGGTTTGCGCGTATCGGAATTGACGCTTTATTTTTTGATATTTTTGGATGAAATTTTCAGTGTGCTGAAAACAAAACCCCACAAGGTGCTATAGAGCCACCTATTCATTTTTTTCACTAGGTTCTTTTTAAAAAAATCTGAAGTTGAACAGAAAAAGTGCGCACTTCAACCCATCATAAAATTTGTGCAAAAACAAAATTTCAAAAAGTGCTCCTATAGCACCATGGGAAATTATCTTCTCAACATACTGCATGAATTTCATTGAAAAATATTGAAAAATGGAGTGTCAAGCAGCTGAACCCTTGTAAATGGCTTGAAACTCACTGCGTCGGAACCGCCTTAACAGGTAATGTACCGAATGAGAGGGTGACTGGCATCACTTTCAGTTCCAGGTTCAAATCTAAGTTCGATCAACATTATTCGTAATGGATTTTATTCACTTAAACTCTATATTATCCTCTATTTAGTTGCTGTATAGATTAGTATACTTTTTTATTGTAAAAAATTAGAGTTTCATGTCAAGCTCGTATTTTTATAACATTTATTTGATTCGGCTTTTCAATTAACCTAGAAAGCTATTTCAGGTTATAGATATCCAACATGTAAAAATGTATGTCCAAACAATTAAACTATTTAGTTGCAAAATACCATGTGCACTTGTTGTTCTTTGATTAACCATTAATCCTAATCGTCAGTGTCAACATTTGTTCTACATTTTTGTAAGTCTGCACTTTTGTAAAGTATATTCCGAGTGCGTGAGAACTCGTCTTTGGGTCAATGGTGGACGTTTTGCCTATCTCTATACAGGGTTTCCAATAAGTACCACGACAAACTTAAGGAGAAGGTAGGCTTTGTAATGACCTCCCTAATAACAAAAACTTACCTAAGTATATGACAGTGTCACCGTTTTTCAGATATTGAATTTTCTCTTAAATTTAAAAAAAAAACAAACCTTTTCATCTGTGGTCTTAACTGCATATACATGGAAAAAGTATCAGAAGGTTTTAAATGCCAAAATAGTCCTTATTTGATCATGGTTCCTTGATATCTTTTAACTACATTGCATTTGTATATGATTAAGCAACTATCTAGAAACATTTTATAGAAAAAATGAATAAAGTATAACCTTATTTGTACATGCAGCTAAAAACCACAGTTGAACAGGTTCGTTTTTTTGAAACTTAAGGAAAAAATTCAATATCTCAAAATATGTGACACTTTTATATAGGTAAGTTTTTGTTATTGCTAAGGTCAGTCCAGAGCCTACCTTCTTCTTAAGTTTGTCGAATTATTGGACACCCTGTATAGAGACAATACATGATGGCTAAGACTACTATCTAGCCACAACGGGATTAAAAAACAGTCCTCGGTGCACATTCTGTGTGGTCGCGAGATTCTACGATACTACGGATAGACAATACTGGGCTCCAGCAGATTGAAACTCTGGACTATTAAGGAGACGGAACCCAACGCAATATTTAACACTTTATTAGGAGGATAGGTCTTGAAACATCGCATTTAGAAGGGCGGCAAAAGTCCTATTGGTGGCTAATGTCGCGCAACGCGCCATTCCAGTGCATCACAGAGTCATCCATTATGGCTAGTCGGAATTCAGACCACTGAGGACTTGATCAGGCACGACACGTCTTGTCAATATTGGAAGAAAGCTAGGTAATTTGTTTAATGCTAAGAAGTACTTTTCACCACATAACCTCATCACTCTGTACAAGGCCCTAGATATGACCTATCCTCGAGTACTCATCAAATGGTTCATATTGGATGGATTCACCCCTAAGGAAATTCTTAAAAGTTAACAGAAACTTCTATTTCGAGATAAAGAAAAGAAGCCTAGCAGCAACTTCCTCTCTGACAAGAGACTTGGTGTCTGATTGCAAATGAGTTTCGACCGTTGAAATCAATTTCGATGGTGCCTTATGATGATATACTTGACTCGCTATAATTTTGTCACCTACTACACTATCAAAAAATTATGACAACGAATGAAGTATCTTCACAAGAAGCCATCTAAAAAAATTTCAACGGTCAAAACCAATTTAGAATCAGGCCCCAGGAGGGAACGCAACAATCTGGTACAGTTCAATGCTTCCAAAACACGGTACTGTAACTTTACTACCAAGTAGCGCCTTAGCGGTTTCGATGGATGGCCGAGTTCTAGCATTTAGAAGGGCTAAAAAAGTCCTATTGGAGCAAAGGGCCGTTCATTTCGGCGACTCAGTGTCCAGATCACGAAGACTTGATCTGGCACGAGAACATCTCGTCAATAGTGGCAGCTTCTGGGAAAAAGATACCCCCAGATAAGACCTTGCTACGTATATTGCTTACATGTTTGGGATGCTACTACCTCGACTACATTAACCATGCTCGATGCTGTTCAGGGGAGGGCTGATCGATAGATCTTCTCTAAAAGACAGTCCCGCTATGTTAACGGGCTATGCTCCTCACGGCTCTCCTCCATGATGCCGAAACGCGATGTGCCTGCCAAACAAACCCGCCTGACACCCACATTCCAACTGTGTCAAACTTCCTTCATCCATAACTGGCCGATACCGCCGTATCTTTGTCCCTAGGGTAGCGAGATTGTGGAAGAATCTACTGGAGGAGGCTTTTACCAGTCTTACTAACCTTCGGTAGTTTAAAAACCGGATTAACAAAGTTTCCTTAAGCTCCTCAGAGCTGCCGCGACGCCCTACTATTCAGGGTTCTGCTTCAGTATATAAGAAAATCGTTGTCCCTTTCATGATTTTATTGAACTTATACTTTATTGAACACATGATGAATATTGCATCCTCATGCCAGTTTGCGAGGAAGTAATATAATCGCGAAAAATTTCGAAAATGACATGAAATTATGTTTTTTTGTTACGTTACAATAAAGTCGAGTGAATTGCATTGGATTGAATAAGATATGTACGAAAAACGATGTCACTCCGTTCCGTCGGCCTGACTGTCTCTCTGACTGACTATCGGTCCATCTCTTCGTTGATCCTTACCCCCTCTTTGACATAAGAATACTACTATGTCAAGAACGACAAAGCTCTGTTGGTTTTGAAAATCGATCCAGTGATGGCGGAGGTACAGTGAAAAAACTTAAGAACCAAAAATCGTTCAATCTTTGCGTTTTGACGTTTCGGACATTCCTGCCTATTTTCAGAAATTTTTTTGTAATGGTAGTAAATCGGAGGTTAGGTTTTACAAGTTTTGTATATAGTGCAAATTTGGTGTCAGTAAACGACGTTCTATTATTAAGAAGCTTCTGACATCGATAATACAATGCACCCATCACACCATCACACAAATTAAAACGTTGATATGTTCCAATCACGCCAGTTGATGATAATTTTCGAGCCCCGGCTTGGCGGTAGAGTTATAGGTATAAATCCGCGCAGGCCATAAGCGTGCGACGTATATGTTACCACGGGTTGGACGAAATTTCAGAGGCGGGACTAGGAGTAGTACTTTACTCATTGAGCTGTATTCATAAAAGAGAAGCATATCCTCGGAACCATAAGGTAAAAGTATAAGGTCTTGCTTCGGAGAAAAGGTAGAAGTATAAGCATATCATTGTTTTCATATTCATAATGATTACCTTATACTCGCGAGGATATCCTCCAAGAAGAAGTAAAAGGTTGACTGGTATTTGTATCTTGAGCGACATTTCCTGACTTGTTCTAGCTTGTAGTTGACGTGGGAGTTCGTTCACTCAGCATCACTGACAGTTTTAATACAGAGCTTACACAGACCGTGACGTATTTTTACTGGATACAGTTTTTTATCAAATTAATAAGCATGTCATCCTCAAATGATGAGGAAACAATAGAAAATAATGGCAACGACCTGCAGTTCACCACAGATGAAATTGCCATTTCTCCCATTATTTTGCAAAAGTCGCAAGTTCCAAAAATAAAAATGAGAAAGGACGATGCCTTGAAGAAGATGTTGAAAAAATACGAATCAACATTCGGTAAACCATTAGATACTAAAGGCTTGTTAAAAAAAATCAACAACATGAAATCATTGATTGAAGAAAGAATCAGATCTAAAACAACTGGTATTAAAGCAATTAAATTGTTAGATTGGGAAAGAAAGTTGCTGAAAGCTATGGAAGGAGACAGTAATCCTACAATTGGGAAAATTAGAGATGCCGTTCAGGTTGGTAGTGTTCAAGAAGAAGGAAGTGAACTATATACCGAGCGCAGGGAGCAAACAGTATTACAGCGCCAGCAATTCAGAAGACATTGCCACCAAAAAGAAAATTAGCAACAGAGAAATACGAAACTGAGGAAACGAAAGGGTTAACTACAAAAGAACTGCAACGTCTAGTGCTATTACAGCAGTACCAAACAAGTATTTTACAACAAGAGTATTATAAAACGAAATCAGAAATGATGCAGCGTCAGAAGCCACCTGTAACTTATGAAGTCCACGAAAATAAAACTTATTATAACTTATAAATACACTTTAATCAGTAAGACTATTTATTATAATACTCAAGTTTCTTCTTATTTGTTGACCTAGTTGGCGGAGAGGAAGTTCCTCATTCTCATGATTTCCTTCATCTTCATCTGGGTCCTGTTGAACTAACTCAAAGTCAGGATCGCCCAAGCTCATCGCAACATTATGGATTACAATACAAGCAATAATTATTTTCGGCACATTTTCCAACTTTACGCGGCAAACATACTGTAGGATAGGAATCCGGCATGTGAGTTGGCCGAAACAGCGTTTAATTATAACTCTTTCTTGTTTTAAAAGCTTATTATAATTTATTTCTGCACCTGGAGTAGGATTTCTGAAGGGAGTTATAAGGCATGGCTCAATATCATAACCGTCATCGCCAAGTAGTACAACATTCGCTTTAGTTATTCGTTGTGATCTAGTCTGTGAATTTCTTCATATTCTGGAGTCATGCACTGATCCAGGCCAACTGACATCAACACTTGTGAACATTTCTCTGGCATCACAAGTGGCTTGCACATTTAAAGTAGGTTGCGGGTTGGTTTCATGATTCCTATATGTGTATAATCAATTACGCCAATTGCTGGTGGAAATTTATACATGCTTTGCCATATCCGCTTGGCCTCCATCAGTTAATGGTTGGTCGTTAGAAACTTGATCCATTCGTTCAACTGTGCAACTATGCTGCTCACAACGCTATCCACAGTCCGAGATACCGTTGCTTGACTAATACCAAGTTCCTGACCAATACCTTGTTGATATCCAGGGTCACCGACATAGCGTAGACATATCTTCATTTTATGAATACATGAAAGTGCTCCTCCTCGAGTTTCCTGATTCTCAACTGAAAATCTGTCCGCAAGCCATTGTACATTTGCTTCGTCGAACCGATACAATTTTTTGAACTCACGACCAAGTGAAGGTAAACAAGGTTTGTACGTTTTAACATCCACAATTTCCGCCATCATCGTTTGACTGCCTTTAGTTACGAAGTTGAGCCTGCTACTGACCACACTCAGAATTTTTGAAGGATATGCTTCCTATGCCAAGTATAAGGTGAAGCATTTACTTCAAGTACAAGGATATCCTTTATTTTATGAATACGGATCATTGCCTTTGCTTTTTTGTATTATAAGTAAATTTAACGTAGCTTTTGCGATCTAGAATAACGCAAGTTTCATCAACTGGAATGGTATCAGCGAAATACATTCTGTTATTAAAGAATGTCTGGCCCCAGCAATAATAGGCATAATACAGATAAGATATAGGATTCACGCACATATACAGAAATCTGTTAGGTCTATTTTTTATAATTTGAGATATAAAACTGAACAGCTTCACGATATATTAACAATTATTAATTAAAGTCTTTATTGTGAAATTAGTATACATATCGTAGTAAAACGAACATACCTAGTCATTAGACTCTCGGATTCTTTTAAGTAAACCTTCTTTCAAGTACGCCGACCCCATATCCCATATACAATTGCTTTGATCGATTTCTTTTGAATCGTAGTTTATAAGGCGCAATTGATGACAGAATTGCGTGGGAAATACATACTTGACGACATTTTTTATCCTTATGCACCGGTATGTTGCTGTCACCGGAATGTCTCTATAAATATTGTAATTCACTAATCTCTCATCTGTAATTTTATTTATTGGCCAAATAGAGGAAGATAGATCAGAGAGACAAACACATTAACAGTTTCAGAAGTCACATTGTCTAGTAACTGCTACCATTAGCATTAGACTATTAACTATTAATCCTCATTCCTCGAATATCTGAATCAGAGTTGATATGGGCGATTTCTCTTTCATGAGGCCTCGCATAAAGTTCAATGAGCGTTCACGTATTTATCGGAAGGATGCGGCAGATCGATCAAATTGCAATCCATCGGTGCGGCAGTAATCATACGTAATACCTACCTACTGCACGCTTAGATTGCTTTAGAATGAAATGCTCTTCAGTGCATTACCCCAATAGCTGGCGAAATCTAATCCTTGTCATTTTTTGCCAGGGAAAAACCTATAGATCCCTTGAGGTGAATAACAATAAATGGGCCGCCTACCTGTTGGAACCGTTTTCTTTTGTTATTTAGTGGTCGACATTGGCAATTAGTTAAAATTTGAATCCCAGCGCAAAAAATGGAGTCAAGTAGACTGTCTCTATACTTTCCCCGCTTTCGATATATATTGCAATATGATCTATACACGGACGCATTAAAAAGACGTAGGCTTGGCCAAAATAATTCATACATTAATAGGAATTTTTTGGGAAAATTTCTTCACATTGCAGCAGTCAGCATGTCTGTACATGCGCAGCATTATTTCTTTGAAGCTTTGAAGACCCTATACCTCCCACGCCTTTTATTTTCCATGTATGTGCAATGACATAAAAAAGACGAGGATTTTGTCAGAAACATAAAAGCTTTATCTGAGCCTTTAATGAGAAAAAAAAATACCTCAGATTGCATTAATGAGCGGAACCGTACACGTTAGCTTCATTTCTTTGGAGCTCTGGTGCAAAACTGTTTGTCCACAATGTTTAATATCTACGTAACGAAATCAAATAAATTCTACTATTTAATGAGGTTACCAGTAGTGGCTAGCATAATATCGCATTCACCTCATATGTGCATATCACATCATCGCGCCGTTTGCTACCTGCTTTTATAAGTCCCCTGATGAAATTTTCACAGCCCCGTAGCGAACGAAAATATTTGTCATGTTTTATTGTATACACGCAGCCTAAAGGAAAAAATAACACATACGTCTGGGGATATTGACCGAGGATATTAGCACGGAAGTGCACCTCGATTGTCGTTTTTCCAAATTATCATACAGTCCACTAGCTTTCCACCCCTTTAAAAACTTAGTCAGTTTTTTCTAGTTGAGGATTACTAGGAAATCAACTCAATCGACTAAAATAAAAACCATAGCCTCAGTTAAGCGATAAATTTGTCAAGGTGTATTTACGCCATTGTTCAAAATCAAAAAATATAATTACGGAAAAATGTCACTTGGACAGTACCCTATTAATTTATAGTAAGTACACCAATTCTAATATAATTTAAGACCTGAATTATCAGTGGCCCTCCAATTTCAGTTTGCTGATCATGTTTGATTTATTCTGGATATTTAAGCTTCTTGGAATTCCATTCATTAAATTTCATCAATTTTTGATACTCGTAACCAAATTTTTAAGATCATCATGTTTCTGGTTTAGAATAACTATGTATTTTCTCAATAATGTGAATTGAAAGTTGCTAGTATCCAGTTGTTTAACATCTTCGCTCTCATAATCATAAACCTTGGACCTACACAGAAAAGTAACTGGAAATTAATTAGTAATTCCACCTGAAAGCTTATGTCACCCGAGTGCCACGTCTGGCATAGATTCTTTACTTAATTATACTTTTGTCGCTTGCTTCCAATCTACTTTTTACAATATTTCGGAAGGTAGATTACAATCTGTAGTAACTGAATTATTATATTATTTTGAAATATCTATGCTACTGAATTTGTTTTTCATTTCTGTGATTTTTCAAGCGGCTGATAGAGATTCATCTCTTCAGTGCGCACTGTTACATAAGACATAATCCAAAATAATGTGATAGAGGAATACTATTTATGCATTACTCGTCACGCCTGCCTCGAACCGTTTCAAGACAATGTTTTGCAATTCCATCACATAAACTTATGCAATTTAAGTAACAGGTCTTCCGTTCTCATTGAATAATCCTCTTATCGCTTCCTTCCAACTTACTTCATATTTTTTTCATTGTGCTTGGCAACTAGGTTAGAACCTGTACTAACTTAATTTACTGACAGTATTGATCGAAGTGACTCAACAGTCGAGCTGTGGCGAGCGTTAAACTCATGCCCCAGTAATTACTATGCGAATTTTAAAACAAACGCTCTCGATTCAAATTGAAACGAGGTGCAAAGAACTGGATTAATCACTACTTTGTAATGCAAAAAGTCACATTTCAATGGCGTTTCGTAAATGCAACTCTGCAGATAGTAAGGAACGTTACCACACTTGCAATATCATTAGTTTAAAAGAAAATAGCATCAAGCAGATGCACTCTGCACTTCCTATGGATTATGTTCAGCACAAATTAGCCCCTCTGAGAAAAAAATTAACTAGGAACGTGTATAACAAAACATTTCACATGCCAATACAATTATTCCATATACCATACCCAATCCATTTAACAACGTTGCCATATAGAAACTTCTCCCCTCCCTTAGCGACAGTAGCCACCATCTGGCAACATTGCTATGACGCTATGACTAACCTCTATTCATCATTGTAAGTTCGAGGGCAATTGTACGGAGAATTTTATGATGAACTATGTTCTAATACATGAGTAAAGTTAGTAGTGGATCAATGGAAGTCAGGTGATAAAGGGCCTCAAAACCTATCGAATGAACCTCTATATGTGCAGTACGAAATTTTATAATAGCAAGGTTCGCCATTTTTTTATTTTTACTCAGATCGAGAGATTTTGTTATTAAAAGACGATACAAAAAATTGAGCAAAAAATATTGATATTTAGGTAGACTAAAAGCATTTCAAAATCAAGGAACAGCACGAGGCTGGAAAACGTACCTGTGCGCGAGACGAGACCGCGTGACGTCAGTAGCCAGACACACCCCGCTAGCTGGCCCGCTGCATTTAATTTACCATTGTCACAACAACGCCGCAGTAATCGGTTTGGAGTAGTTAGAGCTGGTACGATAGATTATTGTTAAATTCTGTGAACTTTGATGGTGTTAAATGTCGAACAGAAACTGGTGTTTTGTGCCAAAATGTACAAGTACGTCAAGTACAACACCACAAAAAAATTTGTGAGTGTTCCAAAAGCTGCCGCGCAACGTAAAACGTGGTTTGATGCAGCTCGACGGGATGTAAGATCAGTTTCTTCCACGTCGACCATGTACTGCTGCGAAGATCATTTTGACCTGGAAAAAGATATGGAAAACAATCTACAATACAAGATGAGTACCGTTCGAGCCCGGATGAATCCTAATATTGCACCTCATAAATTTGCATGTCAACTGGGTAGTCAATTAAGCTCTACGAAACGAGTGTTCAGCGAAAAAATTGCAAGGCAGAAAGACATCGCCAAATATTTGCAGCCAGT